CACTCACACACACACACACACACACACACACTCTCTCACACACACGTGTGAATTGCATCCTGAGATCAGAGTGACCGACCGCAGCAGGACAGACACGGTTTGTGACGAAAACCTGAAGAAACAGAGAAACAGCACTCTAGCATACTAACTATCACTACTACTGCAGTATGCACACTGAAAACACACTGTATGTGAGATTCCTGTAAGCAAAGAGCCTCAAAAGACTAATTTATTCTGATTGCTAAAAGTTATTTTAACACAAAATAATACTACAACTGGATAAAAACACTACAGATCAATTACTGTAAAGCCTGACATATGAAATAATTTTTATAACCTTATACAAAATATTTTTTAAATAATCTAAAAAAAAAAGTTTTGATATGTGTTGTTGTTGATCCATCAGGCTTTTATGGCTCATTTAGTCTGATATAGTGAGGATATGATGGAAAAACAGCAGTTTTTATACAATAATATGCAGTTTGCTACAGATGCTGATATTTCTATGATGAAAGTCTGATGCTTTTGATGTAAATCAGTGAGATCTTTATAACACTGCAGCAGATGCTTATATAAAATGCTATAAATATCAGTCATCTCTCTATATCTCCAGTAATCAGATGAGAGTGAAATGCTCCAAACATATAATGCAGTGACTGAGAGCTGAAGAAATAAAGGCTCCTCAGAAGATGTGAGATGTTCTGGAGGCTTGTGAAGATCATTCCTCCGCTGAGGAACAGTGAAAGTAAAGCTTCTGGAAACAAACGCTCCTCAAAAGATCCTGAGGATCAGATTTGAGACTCTAAAACATGATTGATGGAGAATCAAGTGAAGCTGAGCTGCTTCAGTGCAGTAAGTGTTCATCTGGAGATATCACTGCAGTTATTCTGACCTTTACTTGATCAAAATCAGTCAAGATTTCACACGAGAAGCTCGAGTACAATTACACTAAAGAGCTCTGACTGGAGAAAACACTCTTTAGACTTTTCAGGTTCTAATCATTTAGAGGGCCTAGAAATTCAAATGTCACATATGATTCAGTAGAGTTAATATAAACAGCATACACTATATTTACTCTAGTATGCACTGTAGTAAGCAGCAGCACACTAGCAATCCATTCTGAACAGGATCATGTGACCAAATCCGAGTGATCTTATTGGTCACTCTCTGTAGAACTGGCCAGCAGTAAAATAGCAACATATAATTATCAAATATGCGTAGAAGTCTCTCACCGGGCCTCATCAGGGTGTGTGACTCTCACAGAGTCATGAGGAATGTAGATCATATTCGTGTCTTCAATCTTATAAATCGAGTGGCCGCCGATATCCGCCATCCTGCGGCGTTTAGTGATCAACACGATATAGTAACCCTCCAGAAACCGCACGAAACCTGAAAGACACGAGAGAGAGCAGAGAAACTCATGCTGGGTTTTTACACTTTACAGTAAGTTCTCATTAGTTAACATACAATGCATGAGTTAGTTTATGATTTAGCACCATGGCGAGAGAAAGCGAAAATATAGGAAAAGTGAGAAAATAAATAAGATTGATATATTTTAATTGCATATAAAATTTCCATCCGTTTGAATTAGTTTTATCATAAACTAATACACTTAATGTGATGCACATTTGGTATATCAACAGATCAGATTAATAATAACATCAGGTTTTATATTTGTATTACCAATAAATCCAATTGGTTTCAGTCATACATTTTAACTAATTAATTTTTCACAGCTAGCCATATTTAACCATGTTCAATACTTTTCAACTGAATACATTTTATTGTTTTCACAATTAACAGATTTCAGCTGATTCTAAGCGATTTAAATAAATGCATGAAATTGAAAATATGATTGTTTAAATAAAATAAAATTGCTACATATAAATAATAATAAACTATCATTTTTTTGAGTGAAGATATCTGACCCGTTTCATTTATGCATGACTGACAAAAATGCATCATATTAAAGTTTATTAGTTTATGTTAAAACTGCATGATTATAAGTGGATGGAACTTTATATGCAATTCAAATACATGAATCTTAAATTTTGGTTGATGTAAAACAACAAAATTACTACAGCTAACTAAAATTAAAATAGAAAATATATAAATAAAAACGGATTCAAAATATTAATAAAAATGTATTTTAAAAAACTACTTTGTTTCTTCATCAGATTTGGAGAAATGTAGCATTGCATCACTGTCTCAGCAATGGAAGTGAATGGGTGCCGTCAGAATGAGAGTCCAAACAGCTGATAAAAGCATCACAATATTCCACAGCACTCCAGTCCATCATCTGGAGAAGACAAAAGCTGAAACACATCCAGCATTAAATACCATAGAGTCCATAATCCATAATAACTCTTCCTCCAGTGAAAAAGTGCATCTGCTGTTGTCTCTCAGATCAAAATCCAGACACATATGTGTTTAGAGCTGTTTAAACGCTGCTTGATCTGTGCAGATTTCTCTCCTGATTCACACCAGAACACTGACTCACTGGAGGAAGAGTTATTATGGATTATGGACTCTATGTGTTTTAGTTAAAAACGTCTTAATGCTGGATTTGTTTCAGCTTTTGTCTTCTCCAGATGTTAACTGATGGACTGGAGTGCTGTGGATTATTGTGATGTTTTTATCAGCTGTTTGGACTCTCGTTCTGACGGCACCCATTCACTTGCAGTGAGACAGTGATGCAATTTCTCCAAATCTGATGAAGAAACAAACTCATCCTAATCTAAGATGCTCTTGAGAGTGAGGATATTTTCAGCAAATGTTCAGTTTTGAGTGAACCATTGCTTTAACTGTGCATCAGACAACAATACTTCCATTTCTTTCATGTTTAATGTGCATTCAGAGGCGAACACATCACTCTAATGACGAGATTTGAGGGTATAATTAACAATAACATGCCGTGTTTGTCATGAATCTATCAGGTGTGTCATAAACGCGTGCCACACACACATCAATGTTCTGATCTACTTGTTTGTGCACTAAATTTGCACTTCTTATTACTTCCACGACACCCGCTCCCTCAGCAGAAGGTGATCTGAGGCGAATGGAGGTTGTATAAGACACAATTTCAATGACTAACACAACTAAAAGTGAGATTTGACCAGGTGCGTGTCAGCAGAAGTAGTGCTGTTATTGTTAACTAAAACTCTTCAAATCGATTTCGTTAATTGAAATACAGCTGAAACTAAATAAACATTACATAAACAGTAATGTGTTGCACTTGCAATGCCAAAGTCATGGGTTTGATTCCCAGGAAGTGCTCAAATGTATAGCTTGAATGCTAAATATAAATATTAGATGAAAAAAATTACAAGTTGCTTTGGAAACTTACTGAAATAAGTTAAATTGAATTACTAAAATTACTAAAACTGAAATAAATAAATTAAGGTTAAATATATATATATATAAACGAAATAAAACTGACAAAAGCATAATATTACTAAAACTAAAATCGAAATAACTATCAATTAAAGCTAAATATAAATATTAAAACACAAAAACAAATAAAAATTACAAAAATATAAAATTACTAAAACTATTAAAAAACTATAAAAATGACAAAAGCACATAGCAAAATACTAAAACTCAAATAAATATAAATTAAAGCAAAATATAAATATTTTTTTAAAAAACTAACAAAAATGACAAAAGTACACAAAATTACTAAAACTGAATAAATATAATATTAACAAACTACTAAAAATCACAAAAAGACAACAAAATAAACTATTAAAAAAACTAATAAAAATTACAAAGGTATAACAAATTAATAAAATTAAAACAGAAATAAATAGAAATTAAAGCTATATAGATATATTAAACAAAAACTTAAAAATGACAAAAGCAAATAACATGACAAAACTAAAATATGTAATTAAATGTAATTTATTACATTTATTACAAATATTTTTTTAAAAATGAATAAAAATGACAAAAGCACATAAAATTACTCAAACAAAAACTGAATAATCAATTAAAGCTAAAGTAGGAATATTTAAAAAATCTAATAAAAATTACACAAAATTACTAAAACTATTTAAAAAAATAAAAAAGCACAAAAGCACAAAATTACTAAAACAAAAACTGAATATTCAATTAAAGCTAAATAGAAATATTTTTTCAAAAAAGACAAAAGCACATAAAATTATTCAAACTTAAACTAAAATTAAAACGAACAAATAAAAACAGAAGCAAATTCAATATATTAAAAATACCATAATATTATATAAATAACACTAAAGTACCACTGACCAGTAATAACACACTGCAGATGCACAGACTGCGTAAAGACTCACTTTAAGCGGAAGAGTTTCTGTTGTCTCACTTTACTAACGCACCTGACCGTCATGCGTCCGTTTTGTGTGCTAGTGTACTCAAACGAGCCGCTCACTGAGGCCCCTGAGCTAAAACAAGCAGTAGTATTTACAGAAGTAAATGATATGAAACTTTGAGCAATCAAGGGAAAAGACTCTTACCCACAATGCCGTGGGCAGAAACGGCTCTGGAAAGACCGGAGGATCCCTTCTGCCCGATCTTAGTGCGATTGCCGAGATCCAGACGGCCCAGAAGCTCTCGCACCTCCTGCTGACTGTAAACATGCTGCCAGAAACACACACACATTTACACGGAGCAAACCTTCGCAAACAATGAATTTCTATGGAACAATTCAGGGATGAAATTCGTCAAATGCCAAATAAATAAATTAGCATTAAAGGGGTCATCGGATGCCCATTTCCCACAAGTTGATATGATTCTTTGGGGTCTTAATGAAAAGTCTATAACATACTTTGGTTAAAATTTGCAATGGTAGAGTAAAAACACCTTTTTTACCCTGTCAAAAACAGCTCTTTTCAGATCAAGCCGTTTTGTAGCATTTCCCTTTAAATGTTAATGAGCTCTGCTGGCTCCGCCCCTCTCTTCCGAGCTGCTCTCAGAGAGACTGTTTACTTTAGCCGCATTCATCGTGAAATAAAAGAGCAAATTTGTTGGACATTTTATTCCAAAAAGGTTTAATATGTTTAATATTTCCACCACAGAGTGAACAGTGATTTAGTAAATTATAATAAAATAAAATAAAAAATATGAGATGATAAAAATAAATTTTAAAATGTTTCCTTGGCAATTAACTGATATAAAATAACCTGAAGTATTACAATTACTAAAATAAATATAAATTGAATCTAAATAGAAACATTAAAAACCAAAAAATATTTAAAAAGCACATAAGTACTAAAACTGAAATGAAAATAAATTAAAGCTAAATTGAAAAATTTAAATAAGAAAAATAATATAAATGGCAAAAGCATATAATTACTAAAACTAAAATAAATATAAATTTAAGCTATAAAAACTAAACCTAAAAAGACAAAAGCACATAACAAAATTCCTAAAACTAAAATAAAATATAAAAAAACTAATAAAAATTACAAAAGTGCACAATATTATGCACTTTAGAGTTTATAACAAATTACTAACACTAAACTAAAATAAATATAAATTAAATCTACACCGAAATATAGCAAACAAAAAATAATAACATGACAAAAGCACATAACAAAATTACTAAAACTAAAAAACAAATTAAAGCTACAAAGAAACATGAAATGACACTAATAATAAAAATGACTAAACAACAATTTTGACTAAAACTAAAATAAATATAAATTAAAGCTACATACAAATAAAAAAAAGTTTAAAATGTAAAAGTAAAATGGGTTGAAACATCATTTCATGTTGCCTTGTTAGTGAAGATTGTGAGCAGCTCACCTTATCATCAATAATGACCAGATCTCGCGGTTCAGTGCGGTCGATCTTCAGGACACGATGTTTCGTTTGAGCGTTATTACTGCCCACCAGAAAATACCTCTGAGGAAACCAAAACAAACTAAAAATTACAATCTATTAACCATTTCGGAAAAGCAACAAACATATATTTTTAAACGGCCGAATGGGTGAAACGTGAGTGTCACATTACATCCTAATATTGAAGAAGAAAAAAAAAAAAAAAAAAAATATATATATATATATATATATATATATTCATATTGGCATAAGGAAAATGAATGAAGCCATTAAAAATCAACAATTAAGAACACTTACACTTCCAGAAGTCATTTCAATAAATTCTCGTTATTGCGATGTCTTTAGCAAATAATATTTAAATCACATTACAGTAATGCGAATTTATGAGTAAATGTCTTTTAATTGTCATGAAAATTACTATTTTCTTTACGCAAGAATACAACTTCACTTCCGTATTTTGATTTTGGAGTGAAACATGAACCAGAATATCAAACATCCAGAGAGTTGAAGAGCTGCTGAGTGAATATGAAGAAAAACAGCAGGGTTTGAGGCATTTTGCTCTTTATCTGGACAGATTTCCAGGTAAGACACATTAAAGACTCCCAGTGAAATCGACACACTGAGGATAAAGACACGCCGGTCCTGTTCTCTGTTATTATAGTCCGTATTCTGCAATGAATGACAGCTGCACTCATAAATGGTCCGATCTGTGCTTTAAAAGAGCGTAAAATACAGCATGGAATTAAAGGGACACAATGGACTCGCACTGGGCTCACTGTCTGTATGTCTGCACACAGAAAATGACGTGCACTGCACTTGAATCAATGTTTTATTAAACAATGTTGAGCAGAATATCATGCATGTTGCTGAGGACAGTGTGCTGTTACTTTACTAAGTGACAAGATGCATCATTTTCACCTGCTGGACCAGAAAACTGGTGAAAAAAATCCCACACTGAAGGAGGAACCTGAGCCATATTTACATTATATGACTATTAAATAAACTGGGGGAAAATGTTTAAAATAATAAAGAAATTAAAAATTTATTAATTATATATATATAATACAAATTAATTATAAATAGATCAAAAATTAGATAGATAAAACTGGTTAACACTTTGGAATAGTTAAGGAGTTTTAATGTTTCTGAAAGAAGTCTCTTCTGCTCACCAAGGCTGAATTTATTTGATCAAAAATAGAATAAAAATTGTGAAATATTATTACCATTTAAAATAAGTGTTTTCTAAGTGAATCTCTGTTAAACTGTAATTTATTTCTGTGATGCGCAGCTGTATTTTCAGCATCATTCCTCCAGTCTTCAGTGTCACATGATCTTCAGAAATCAGTATATGCTGATTTCACGATATTACTGTTTTACTGTATTTTTGATCAAATAAACACAGCCTTAGCGAGCAGAGACAGCTTCCTACAAAAACAATAAAAAAATCTTTATTATTCCAAACTTGTGGCCAGTAGTGTACTGTAAATGAATCAGCTTATTTGTAGTTGTTCATTGTCAACTACATATATTTGATCTTATATTATGATTCGACATACTTGATTTTGACAATTAAGCACACTTTCACTTACAAAAGTTATTCATTTTTACCATAATGTGTCCAGATTTTCACTTGTGAAATTCTCATTAGATTTTTTTTTATTAAAATCTAATTTAAATGATATATTTAAAACGCATACTGTATACTACAATAATGAGAACTTATTGGTAAAATTAGATTTAATTGCCATGAAAATAATGTCATAATAAACACATATGTGAGCCTGGAGCACAAAAGCAGTGTTAAGTCGCTGGGGGATATTTGTAGCAATAGCCAACAATACATTGTATGGGTCACAATTATACATTTCTCTTTTATGCCAAAAATCATTAGGATATTAAGTAAAGATCATGTTCCATGAAGATATTTTGTAAACTTCCTACCGTAAATATATCAAAACTTAATGTTTGATTAGTAATATGCATTGCTAAGAACTTCATTTGGACAACTTTAAAGATGATTTTCTCAATATTTAGATTTTTTTGCACCCTCAGATTCCAGATTTTCAAATAGTTGCATCTCAGCCAAATATTGTGCTATCCTAACAAACCATGCATCAAGGAAAGCTTATTTATTCAGCTTTCAGCTGATGTATACACCTCAATTTCACAAAATTGAGCCTTATGACTGGTTTCGTGGTCCAGGGTCTCACACGGTCCTAAAACAGACTTTATTTTATTTATGCAAAAATATAAATTCTTAACTTTTATTAAAACAGTGCACCAAACGATACAACACATTGAATATGTCATGGCTCCAGCTCAGACAGTGAATCAGACATCAGGTCTCAGTTTGATGACAGCTAAACGCTGCCATCTAGAGACATCAACATCTGTGACCGCATTCATACAGTCAGAAATCTCCTAATGGATGTACAGTATATATTCATACACAGCTGCTGATCTGATAAACACGATATGCATTTAAAAGACTCAAAGCAATGCATTTATCCTTCGTGAATAATGACTGAAATATGACTTACGGCTCTGGTCTCATAAAGCACCAGCTTCTGAACTCCTCTAATCACAGCGGCGTTCACAGGCATGATGACGCTTCAGTCCAATCAATGACACACAACTGATGAACACAACACATGCTGAGTGTCATAATCAGAGCTGGGAGATTACTTACAGAGTCTAATCTGTTACTGGTTCCTGATTACATGACAAAAACTGTAGTTAGTAACGTAATCCATTACATTGCACATTTTAGTTAATATAATCAGACTACTTTTAGATTACTTGTGACCTAACTCAATATACATAGTACCATATTGATATAAAAATACAAAGATTAGGAAAATATATTCCATTCTTTGTTATTAACAACATGAAGTGCATTAAACAAAATTGTGAAATATTATTACCATTTAAAATAGCTGTTTTCTATGTGAATATACAGTAAAATATAATTTATTTCTGTGATGCAGCACTGAATTTTCAGCATCATTACTCCAGTCTCACATGATCTTCAGAAATCATTCTAATATGCTGATTTATAAATCATAATATTTCACCATACTACTGTTTTACTGTATTTTTGATCATATAAACGGATTACGTTCAATCTTACATTATGTCGAAGTCTCCCAAACTGGGGTTCGTAAAGGAGCTGGGTTCGAGAGTTTAATGAAAAACTAATAATTATAAAAAAATAAAAAATATAATTTCAAAATCAATCAAAATAAAACATGTACTTAAAAAATAAATATTTTATTTGTTTACCTGCATGTCACGTGACCATTAATGCAAATGTGATACTTTATAATTAAAAATGTACTTTAAGTAAATATATTAGGTATATATATTATAAAGACAAAAGCCTTCCAAAGAGATAGAAATACATGGTTAAATAATTACTGAGTGATAATTCAAATAAAATGAACGTGTTCATCAGGAGTTGACGCAGTGTTGAAACGCTTCTTAAACCTGAAATGATTTTTGTAAATGCAGTGATCAAAAACTGGAAGACCTTCTGAGCGTACATTAAGCGGTAGGATATTTTAGAAAGGAACATTTAAAAGATGTAAATTAGGGAGAATACATTTTTTTTTATTGCTATTGTGTGAAGTAGACTTGTGCCGGTATTCGGTGACGCGGTATATCACGGTAATGAATATGCACGATATTGTTATCGTGGGCACTTCTAAATACCGGACACTACTGTTTTACTGTATTTTTGATCATATAAACGGATTACGTTCAATCTTACATTATGTTGAAGTCTCCCAAACTGGGGTTCGTAAAGGAGCTGGGTTCGAGAGTTTAATGAAAAACTAATAATTATAAAAAAATAAAAAATATAATTTCAAAATCAATCAAAATAAAACACGTACTTAAAAAATAAATATTTTATTTGTTTACCTGCATGTCACGTGACCATTAATGCAAATGTGATACTTTATAATTAAAAATGTACTTTAAGTAAATATATTAGGTATATATAATATAAAGACAAAAGCCTTCCAAAGAGATAGAAATACATGGTTAAATAAGTGATAATTCAAATAAAATGAACGTGTTCATCAGGAGTTGACGCAGTGTTGAAACGCTTCTTAAACCTGAAATGATTTTTGTAAATGCAGTGATCAAAAACTGGAAGACCTTCTGAGCGTACATTAAGCGGTAGGATATTTTAGAAAGGAACATTTAAAAGATGTAAATTAGGGAGAATACATTTTTTTTTATTGCTATTGTGTGAAGTAGACTTGTGCCGGTATTCGGTGACGCGGTATATCACGGTAATGAATATGCACGATATTGTTATCGTGGGCACTTCTAAATACCGTGAATATATTACAAATTATTCAAATTTTGAATGCATTTTAAGAATACTTTTCCCATTAACTGGTCAAAATGCACAACACCGCCGTATGCTGCGTGAAAGACGCGCGCGCACTCTGATGTAAACAAGCGCGGACGAGAAGCGCACGGCGGAGCGCGCGAGAGACGCTCTGGAGGAAAGCGCACTTTCTTTAGACTTAACAGGCTATTTATTTTCAAACTTTTTTCAAACAACATGCCCTAGATATTGTTTGAAAGTGTGTATTCTTTATTGTTCGGTCACACTTTACATTAGGGCTTCATTAGTTATCATAAACTGCCAATGAAAAATTCCTCTGAACATTAATTAATCTTAGTTATTCCAACATTTAATAACAATCGAAAGTTGCAACTGTGTTATTTAATGAGCTAACATGAACTAAGACTTGTATTTTTTAAACAAAGATTAATAACTTCTGTAGCAAATGTAGCTATTGCTGATTGTGAATGTTAATGCATTAACTAAGCTTAAATACCGGCATACCCCTAGCTGTGAATAACACGTGATAATGTAATCCATAAAAAGTAACTGCAGTCTGATTCTGAGTATTTTAACATCTCGGAATACGATTACGTAATGTAATGGTCATAACGATGCACTTTCATATGACAAAACTTCTCTATTATAGCTACAAATCATGATCAAATTCACACAACCATTGCAGAATCAGGAACATGTTAAAAAACGCATTTGTTTGCATTTAGCACTGCCTTGAATAAGCTATTCCACATAACAGACATGACATATTTAGCTCACTTTTCATCATTTAGTCTGCTCTTTAGAAGCTACACAACATATTTAAACGGGTCCCAAAAATAACTAACTAACTTGTAGTTGTAAGGTGTATGTAAACAACTGTAAGCACTTGAAAAACAAAACGCATGAATGATAATCCAGGACTAATCTAATATGAGAATAAGATGCTAATGCTAATAACAAAAATGAGGAAGATGTTGGTGCTTATCGAACCCATGTGGACTGTTTACGGCCTTTGCGTTTTAAAAGCAAGCCTGTTTCTACATGACAGTGATGATAACAGACAGAATTCGACCAAGAACCAGATAAATAGCACTTACAGTCCGCGGACGCCTGCATGAGTGTCGATATATTGAGAAATGTTGTGTATTTACATGTGACTGTCATGCAGCTCAGCTGAGACGGAACCTCCGCTGGGACAAAAAGCACAAACGGAAAAGCGATTTGAAAAACGCGCACACTGACTGGACAAGTAGTATGAAAAACAGTCACAGTTGTTTTTGTCGCGTTGTGTTAGACAGATAAGTTAACTTGCTCTAAATGTTCATTCCCTGAAAGAAATACTAGTGTTTTTGCATTTCTTAAGAACAAAACCCGACAACAATTACGCTAGCGCTACGAAGCTACGCTTCGAATCACTACTAGTCCTTTCAATTACTCAAATGTCTCATTAAAATCTCTATAAATTAATACAACTGATCTGAGATCTGGTATAATAAAAAACTATAGACATTGGTTCAGTGGTCAGTGAGCTAGTGATGGGAAACGAATCTTTTCGGAACTTTCGAATCAAAATGATTCACTGATTTTTTTTTTAGTTTTTTTTTTATTATTATTGCTTCAAACGGATTAACAAAAGATTTTAACATATAGATACAACACAACCTATTCACGTTATTACAATCATACAACTTACGGGAACAAAAAAATAAAAATAAATAAAAATTATAAATACAAAAATAAAACAGATATTTCTTCCTTTTCCCTAGAGACACGTTTAGTGAGACACAAATGAGTTGAAAAGCATATTTTTCAAAGAATTTCTCCATAAAATGTAACAAAATTTCATTCTTTTTGTTATTAATTAACACCAAAGACTTTTTTAACAACTTGAGTACTTCACATTTAGGTATACAATCCGCAAATGTTTGTTTATGAATGTAATATTTACCATGCAAAATGTAAACGTTTACAACATATTTAAACATTTTGCTTTTGTGTGTGTGTATGGAAGCACTCGAGTGATTCGAATCGCCACTCGCTCGTCAAAACTGTGTAAATGCAAAAAAGCATGCATTAAAAACAGCTTTTACAAACCCAATGCAAAAGCTTTATTGAAAGTATAATATATGAAATGCAATTAAAATAACAAAATACCATTAAATAGGCTATGAAGTGTCTGTACAATGTGTTTTTTATTATTATTATAATTACTGCTTCGAATCCCATCTGTTTGGAATCGTGTGCATGTTCACCGCAGTGATGGGCGCTTTCGAAGCATCGAAACCTTTGTGAAAATGTTGTGTCGAAGCAGCGGTTCCGAGCGCATGTCAAACCGCCAAAGTCACACGATTTCAATGAACTAGGCTTTGTGACGTCACAACCGTGTCTTGTCGTAATCGGTTCAATTGATTCAAAAGCTTCGATTCTCCAATTGCGCTTCTGTCACACTCTGCAGAGCAAGGTTTTAAAAGTTGGGTTAAGGTGAGTACTGAATTAACATGTTTCTGCAGTCGTAAAAATTGTTATATATCTTAGCCCAGCTATTTTAAACTGTTTGATTACATTCTAGGGTTGTTATTATTATTATGCATAAAAAAGCTTTATGCAACATTGATAGGAACACTGAGATAAAAAAAAAACATCAACGCATTTTAAAAATTGTTACTTTTTTGTAAAATATAACATCAAATGTTTATATTAGTGCTACTAGTATTACAACATCAATATTGTAAATTTTTTGCAACATTTGAATTTTTAATTTAGTGTAATATTTTGTCATTGCAACATTTTAGTGCAATTTTCACTAGCAACTGCAATTGGATTTATATTGTTATCCCACCGGCCACTATTGTGACCATCAACATGTTTACTCATTCTATGACCACACTCAACTAAACTGAATATATGTGAATTCATATATTAATACTAGACACCTTAAAGATAATGTGTGCCAAAAATCTGTGTCATATCTTTATGTTAAGAAACAGTTGTCAGTGTTTTTATCGTTCATCGGCTGGAAATAAAAATCGCTTTGAAAGTGATTCCAACGATATAGTATGGTGCGAACTCTGCTATTCTCGTACATTTTTTAACTTTTTACATTTTATGGTTGTTATTATTTTTTTGATGTGTAGGCTGCTGTGACTGTGAAGATGCAATGCTCCTCAGTTCCTGTAGATGTCGCTGTGTGTTAATGCATGGATTGAGCGTGTCTGATTTGTCCTGGCACAGTGTTCATTGTGTTTTACTTCAGTTCAGCTCAGGTTTGACCTTGAAAGGCACATTTTCCTCAATATTCATTGGTTTGTTTTGTGTACAAGTGTGTGTAAAGTTAATAATAAATTAGTCTTGCAGTCTATTATGTAATAGGGTACTTTACTGTCCTTGTTGAATTTTATTTTATTTTATTTTAAAGTTTGGTTTATTTTAATATACTGACTATGGCTTGTTATTTATTTAATTTAAATTTAAATTTTTTCTTCATTTTCACTTGTTCGTGAGTGTATGCCAATACAGAAAAAAAATGAGACGGGCATGTGCACATTTGTTTTTTTTGATACATTTTGGAAAATTAAATAAAAAAAGAAAGATAGCGAGATAGCAAGACATTCAAAACAAGGGAATGAATGAATGAGATACATGTTCATATTGTCCCTCAGAGAGTCATCTGACATGGACAGGCCCTGCTAGAGGTTTAACTAGTTCCTCTCTGCTGTATCCTGGCTGTTATTTTGACAGTATTATCACTGAAGGAGAGATAAGTTGTCTTGGGAATCGGCGTGGCGCCGCTGTGTCCCTCCCCCGGTCAGACAGGCATCCCGGGGTTTGTGTTGGCGGCACCCCAGGGTTCTGGGAAGCATCGTGCTGAGCCACTGAAAGCCCCAAAACCTTTGTGCACCCTCGCTAGGGTCCCTCTGTTGCATCGTTTTTCAGAATCACTCTTTGTGTTTCCATTTCCTTGTCTAACTTTCTTCCGAATCCTACAGTTTTCCTGCGCTAAACAAACACATTCTGTCATCCTGAAACATCCTGAAGATTGGTCTGTCCCGCATCGTTACATTGACTCCAGATCCAAGATTTTTGTCACCAGAGGAAATGTCTATTACTCTGAAGTTTTTCTTCAAAGATAATGAGACTTGGAGGAAAATTTGCTGAAAATCTAGATGAGTTTGTTTCTTCATGGGAACAGATTTGGAGGAATGTCACATTGCATCACTTGCTCACCAATGGATCCTCTGCAAGTGAATGGGTGCCGTCAGAAAAAGAGTCCAAACAGTGTGCACCCTCGCTAGGGTCCCTCTGTTGCATCGTTTTTCAGAATCACTCTTTGTGTTTCCATTTCCTTGTCTAACTTTCTTCCGAATCCTACAGTTTTCCTGCGCTAAACAAACACATTCTGTCATCCTGAAACATCCTGAAGATTGGTCTGTCCCGCACCGTTACATTGACTCCAGATCCAAGATTTTTGTCACCAGAGGAAATGTCTATTACTCTGAAGTTTTCCTTCAAAGATAATGAGACTTGGAGGAAAATTTGCTGAAAATCTAGATGAGTTTGTTTCTTCATGGGAACAGATTTGGAGGAATGTCACATTGCATCACTTGCTCACCAATGGATCCTCTGCAAGTGAATGGGTGCCGTCAGAAAAAGAGTCCAAACAGCTGATAAAAACATCATAAGTAATCCACGCCACTCCAGTCCATCAATTAACATATTGTGAAGCCAAAAGGTGCATGTTTGTTACAAACAAATCCATCAAGACGTTTTTAACTTCAAACCATTGCTTCCAGCTAAAATATGAGTCCATAATGCATAATAACGCTTCCTCCAGTGAAAAAGTCCATCTCTTGTTGTCTCTCACATCAAAATCCACACACATATTTGTTTAGAGCTTAGTGCTTGATCAGTGCAGATTTCTCTCCTGATTCATACCAGACCACTTTTTCACTGGAGGAAGCGTTATTATGGATTATGGACAACAGTTTGAAGTTAAAACGTCTTAATGCTGGATTTGTTTCAGCTTTTAAGCCAAAAGGTGCGTGTTTGTTACAAACAAATCCATCAAGACGTTTTTAACTTCAAACCATTGCTTCCGGCTAAAATATGAGTCCATAATGCATAATAACGCTTCCTCCAGTGAAAAAGTCCATCTCTTGTTGTCTCTCACATCAAAATCCACACACATATTTGTTTAGAGCTTAGTGCTTGATCAGTGCAGATTTCTCTCCTGATTCAGACCAGACCACTTTTTCACTGGAGGAAGCGTTATTATGGATTATGGACAACAGTTTGAAGTTAAAACGTCTTAATGCTGGATTTGTTTCAGCTTTTGTCTTCTCCAGATGTTAACTGATGGACTGGAGTGGTGTGGATTACTTGTGGATTATTGTGATGTTTCTATCAGCTGTTTGGACTCTCATTCTGACGGCACCCATTCATTTGCAGTGAGACACTGATGCAATTTCTCCAAATCTGATGAAGAAACAAACTCATTTGCATCATGCACTCTTAACCCAAATTAGTTGACTTTACTAGAAATTTGCAAGGAAACCTGTTGCACTAAACCATTCTAGTTTTTACACAAGGTGAAACTAAACAGCTTTAGTTGAATTAACATAGAACCTTAAGTTTATGCAGTAGACAAATCAAGTTTACATTAGTAGTCTTTACTCAAAATTATTAGTTCACATCAATTATTATTTGGAGTATACTGTAGGTTGCATAAAATAACTATTGAAAGTTACAACAACAAAAATATATATATTAGCAATTAACATTAACAAATGTTTTTAATTAATGATAAATGTTATATTTATGTAATGTCAATGTAATTAGACAGATTTTGAGATTTGTTGTATTAAACATTGTTTCAATTAAATTGGGAAAAAAAAGAAAAACAGATTTCAATGCACAAATGTTTTTTATTGTTCACAAAAGAAACGGTAACACGACAATGCATTAAACTTGTCAGCCACAAGACAAGTAAAAATAAGCTTTGAAACAGCTTACTAACAATTGTAACTATTTTGTAGAAGAAACATGAACACACAGAGTTCAACAATATCTGCTATATCCCTTGTGAATGCCTGGATATGCATTAAAAACTGGGCATGCATTAAAACAGAGGCAAGCTTCTGTAACTTTAAA